ACCATAAACGAAACAACTTCATGATAATACAAGGGGTACCCTAAAGTCAACTCTAACAAAATTTTATTTGAATTGTCTTAAACTGCTTTAGACATTTTTTAATTGTTAAGAAGATTCAACCCATATTTAATCGATGAATATTTGTATTTCATTTTTTAATACAGTCAAAAGTCATTAGTCGGGACTTCGGCGATTCCGGATTATCGATTTTTCCGGATTATAGATCATCAGTTTAAATCTCGTAAGATGGCATGCAGAAATTCTAAAATTAAAAATATGAAATCGTAATTTATGAAATAAAGAACAATTATGATCTAAAGGGTATCAAAATTTACAAAAAAAAAAAAAGCTTAATATTTATTTGTTTACTTTATTAAACATTTATTTCAATGTAAGTTGCTTCATTTTATGTGATAATACTTTCTCTTTAATTCTTCAAACAGACATAATTTCTTGTTCAGTTACAAAGTTCCGCTGTTCAAGTCCCGTAATTGCTGTGCTGAGAATACCGACTAACTTGTCAATCGAAATTTTTTCATTTTCACTAACCTCTCTGTCACATTCTTCATGTCTTTATCCATTCTTTGCAGCAATTCCACTTTTTGTTTGATGGACATCGAAACATACTTTCGTTTTGTACGATCCTTTGGGAGCTCCAGAATCGGAAATTCTATTTGACATAATCGAAAGTTCAAGTTTACTTTTATAGTATTGCTCTTACAGTCTGCAAAAAATAATAAGCCGGATCCAATTCGAAAATTAAGGAACAACGAAATCATCAACATTAACTGAAATAGATAATTAGATAATTTTAGCTTATACCGCCCGTTATACATAAAACGCGCACGCAAAAACGTATTCTGCGCTTGCTCACACGCATATGCACAGACGTAAGAGGTCTTACGTGCACGCGTAAACGCCTATGCGCATGTGTCAACGCGGCGCATGTGCAGAAAGTTTTTAGCTTTGAGGTCTGCATTATGGGTGTCCGAATTAACGACTTTTGACTGTATCAATTCTGTAGTATGTTACTAAGTTTATATCTACAGAACAATGTGTGCCTTCATAAATAAAAGCTTTGCTTTTCTACTCAGGATTTTTTTAGCATAAAAACTATAAAAAATTAACAAAATTTAATTAGTCAAAGAGTATAAAATTTATAATATCTAATTAAATATTAAAATATTTTCTATCAGACTCTAAATCGTAAATAGTTCAGTAACTTGATCATGCATTGTAAAATGAATTTTAAGTCACTTCAGTATTGTTTTGAAATGAAATACGCCTGCAGCACAGAAACCTCAGCTACACGCACAGAAGCACGAGTCTGTTTTTAAGCACGAGAATTTTCATTTTTCAAGGTTGGCATCAGAAGATTCGGGACTTAATTTCTAAATTTAGAAGTGTAGGAGCCTTATGGAAGACTGTCAGGAAAGGACAAAAAAATAATAAATAAAATAACTAAAAATTAAAACAGTTAAATAATTATACCAAAATAAAGAGATAAATAGAAATTTTATAAACTATTAAATTAATTACAGTACTAAGTCCGTAATCCGGACTCGTCAGGACTTCGGTGATTCCGGATTATAGATCATCAATTCAAATCTGGTAAGATGGCATGCAGAAATTATACAATTAAAAATATGAAACCGTAATTTATGAAATAAAGAGCAATTATGATCTAAAGGGTATCAAAATTTACAAAAAAAAAAAAAAAAAAAAAAAAAAAAAGCTTAATATTTATTTGTTTACTTTATTAAACATTTCTTTCAATGTAAGTTGTTTCATTTTTTGGGCTAATTCTTTCTCGGCTAATCTTTGGAATATGGTAACAGGTAGTTTGGCAACATTTTGGTAAGGCGATAAAGGTTACTAGCTAGGACTTTAGCAGTGTACATGGATAAAGTCAAGAGTGTGCGCAATGCCATTTTTTGGCAATTCTGGGATGTTTTTTTAAGTGAAAATAGGTCGACGTGTACATGGATACCATGTATCTGCAATTCTTAAAAACGCGGTAAGCAGTTTGTGATTCTGCACTTTCTCCCAATTTCGCACCTAATCTTCGTCATGATTAAGCACTTTTGTTCCATAAAAGTTTTAGCATAAGCGTATTTCGGCTAGCAGATTGTTGGAAAAAAATGTTGAGTTAAAAAAAAAAAATGCCTTTACTTCGTGAAAACAAAATGGCGTCCAAACAAAAACTAGCAGGTTGCTGTAGCAAGGTTGGTCGCCAAAAAATCGCCAAGTTACCATAATCCAAAGATTAACCACTTTCTCTTTAATTCTATAAACAGACATAATTTCTTGTTCAGTTACAAAGTTCCACTGTTCAAGTCGTGTAATTGTTGTGTCGAGAATGCCGACTAACTTGTCAATTGAAATTTTTTTATTTTCAATAACCTCTCTGTCACTTTCTTCACTATCGGAAACAGTATTTTCTGGGTTTAGAACCATACTACGGATTTTGCGTCCATTTATTGGTTGATGATTGGGGCATTGTCATCGCAAAAACTTCTGTTATATCATGTCATCTTCAGTTATTACCGTTTCTCTACATTTCTTTACAAAATTGAATAAATGGAAAATTTCACCTTTGGTTTGCGATGTCCGAAAACCTTCAAATTCATGGCTATCATCTTCATCGTCCTCACCATGAAATATGGTAGCTGGCCATAAATTATGTTAAGTATTTTTTAACATATCTGGAGACACATCCTCCCAACGTGCATGCGTAAAGCATACAAGAAAGTAGTTTGTGACTTTGAGATCCGAATTATAGATCATTCCGGATAATGGACGTCCAGATTATGGATTTCGTACTGTACAAATAATTAAATAAAAAGATAAATTATCAGATCTCTTCTTATTTGGGGTTCCACTTGAAATTACAATTCCACTCAGAAGCTAAGAAGTAGTTCAGCAGATCTCCTTCTGAATTTAAGTCATGGTTATATATATAATGTGCTATTTAAAGGGATGGCAGCATACAAATAACGATGAAGATAAAATGATTAAACTAAGAACTAATGATTAAACTTCACTAAGAAGAAAAGTGAAGTCTAAAAACAGTATTAGGCTATGAAAGGAAATTTTAACAGAAAAATGAAGCTTTGGAAATAAAGAGGGAAAAGCAAGATTTCTGATCGCTGTACCCTGTCGATATAATTCTAGCCATCAAGCGAAGATTTTCCTTAAATACGATTTGAGAGAATAAATGTAAGACTGCTCTGTACAAGTAACAGTAGTGGCCCCACGTTTAGTTGCATCGTTCGAAAAGTCTACAGAATGTCTGCAGTAGGAAGTCACTAGCATGGCACATGCGTGTTCAGGGTATCACTTCCAGTTTTCTCAAGAGCAAAAATTTACACACTCTCATAAATTCTGTGCACGTCTCGACCTCTGTTCAAGGTTTGTGTCCAAGAGGAACTTATATTCAGAACGTAGAATATATTTTAATGCATATTTATTATTAAAATAAAATTTGTCTGTCTATAGTGGGCTTCGGCAGAATTTTAGCTTTGAGAAGACCTGATATTGTAGCTCCTTCAAATTGATATGTATCCCATTGTTTCTTAAACTTTTGTCAATTGTGACTCCTTTTTATCACTGAGATTTTTTCGCCACTCCCAGGACTCCATAATATTTGAAAAAATTTCGTGGGACCCCATAAGTATTCCAAAAATCCGACAAACACGCGAGTGAAACTGTCAATTTTTTCACTTGTACTGTAATATACTATTACAGTTTTAGGTCATTAATTTTAATTTCTAATTTTAAGACGTAGAAGAATGTGAAAATTTTAATAAGTAACAGACGAAATGGCAGCATCACATGCAAGCAAGGAAAATGAATGTTTATATTATAAAAAGAATATGTCAAAACATTTTCATTTTTTAATTTGTCTGTATTGTCTTATATTTATCTATTTTCAGATACATTGTGTAAAAAATATGGTAATTGTAAAATTATTATAAGTTAAAGAAATATCAAAACTGCTAAAATTTTTTGCGACCTCCTGCTGCAGGTCCCACGACCCCCAGGTTAAGAAACCCTGCTGTATCCCATAAATAAAAATTAGATAATTAAAGCCATACTGTATTTCTGATAATTTATGTTTTAAAATTATTTGTATTTTCATTTATTTTTTTAATGTAAATATTATAACCAACCAGTACATAAGTATTATTTCAACCACCTGGGTGCAGTTTGACAAATCTTACAGAAAAAAAGAACTGTGATTATTCTATGCTTCAACTATATATTTATTCTAAAAGACAATCAATAAAGCTCATTACAAACAGCTTTTTGTTTATGTTGTGGTGGAGATTTCATAGTGATCGCATCCAGAAAGAAATCAAAGCATTGTTAATTTAGTGATTTTGCAGCAAATCCGCAGAAATTTTATCCCTTTTTTTTCTACGTTTCTCGTATTATATGGAAATTTTGCAAGCAAAAATATTAACCCTCTGGGCGGCCAGGGTTTTCGCTAAGAAAGCACAAATTTCCCAAAACTACTATGAGAACAAATTATTTTTTTGAATTTAATGTAAAAACTGTACTGGTATTTCATACGTAGATTTGTTTTCTTTTGATATATTGCCTTAATTTCGTTGACATATTTTATTATGCACGTATATATACGTTCTTACAGATATCACAATAAATATTCTAAGCCGTATATATACGGCCTTGCCGCTTAGAGGGTTAAAAATCGAGTTTAAAATAAAAAATAATCATAATTTTTCTATGAAAGTCATTGGAACTTTGACTAATTGAACTTGAACTAAAAAGAATGCATGTTAAATTGTCGATGTTGAAGACTAAATATTTATCATATATGGTTGCTTGAATGTTTGTTATGTGAGTGGGTACCAGAGTTTGGTGTACATTCTAAATCTTCGGCATTTTCTGCTTAAGTGGTTGCAGTAGTACACATGTACCAACCAATATTGCAATTTTAATTGATGTTAATTGTAAAAATTGTTTTCTTTTCATAGTATTTTAAGGAAAATTTCCAATATTATGCCTATGGTGCATCTAAAGAATGCAAGGAAGGTGACTATGTATTAATACGGGTAATGTATATATTCATTCTGCTTCAGTTATTTTACTTGTGTGTTAATCATATTCCTAAAGCTAAAAATAAATAGTGTCCTATTACTTTATATTTAATTTTAAAATTAGCTTTTCATGAATATACTACGTGCCTAAAATTCAAATATTTATGACTGATATTTATCTCATTATTATCTGAAAACAATCTATGGATTTGCATTATTAGATCTTTCAAATAAAATACACTTTCATAATATAAAAGCAATGCACTAAGAAGGAATTATCCTAATAGAATGAAACTATACATATGCCTTATGTTAGAATATGCAAATGATTAACTTTGGTGGTCAATGACTGACTAGCTAGAGCTCCAGTGCATCCATTACATTGGACCAGTATGGCATATAAAACAAAATATTCCAATACTAAAGCATAACTTCCACATGCAATTATACTAAAAGAAGCAAGGAGGTCAAAACACAAGATTGCTAGACATTTGGGTTGGAGTGATGCTACCAAGCAGATAGCAGTTGACAGAGTGAGGATACTGATCAATGCTTTTAGCCCCTGATGCATCTGTATCATTGATCCAACGTGTAACTGATACACCAGTGATTTCAATGACCATTAATAGGTGACTTAGCAAATGAGGGCTGAAGTTGTAGAGGCCATTGCACACCTACAGGTACATTTGCAGTAGTCATTGGAGCATTCAACCTGGGATCTCATGGACTCCATAAATATCCAAGACAGTGATGGGATAATTACCTGGGTAAAAAATATATTTACGGGTGCTCCTTGGCGATTTTTGGCAGTACGTGAACCACCGCGTTTGTGCAGTTCTTTGACTTGTTATTTTGGCTTTGTGTAGTGGCGATTTTTCTATACGAATCCAAAATAATAAGAATTGCAGAAACTCTGTATCCATCGACCTATTTTCACTTAAACAAACATCAGAGAATTGCACAAACTAGGCATTGTGCCCTCCCTTGACTTTGTCCATGTACACATTATCTATATTCACTTAAAAAGTCAAAGGAGCAGCCAACAAAAAATATTTAATTTCAGTAAACTATGTTTCAAATCAAACAATGAAATAATATAAAAAAGGAAATTCATCTTAGCACTAAACAAAAGAAATATCCACTTACCTTATTTACAAATTTCCCTGTCATCAGTTGAACAAAATTCCTTAACAGCATATAAAAACTTCCTAAAATTATTTGAACTAGAATCTGTATACTGTTGTTGCCACATAAATTCACAAAAATAAAAGTAAAAAATATCCTCCAATGTTTGACCATATCCATTTCTTTCATTCAAACAGAACACTTATAATGACAACTAAGTAAACCTTCATTTACGCACCAGTCAATTAATGCTTTTTCCCCCTTTTGTTTGAAATCATGTAGAAACTTCAAATTAATCTTACAACGTTCAGTTATTTTACCATGTAAACCACAAAATAGCAATGTACGAAAATCCGTCCCATCATTCAAATTCACGCAATCACGCAACCAATTATGTCATAATAGGGTTTCCGTGGCATTCAACTACTCAGGTTACCATAAATGAAACAACAATTTAGCGATAATTCCAAGGGGTACCCTTCAATCTACTCTAACCAATACCTGACTGGCGTCTGCCACGCAGCCTGATGACCAGGAATTATGATATGGGACGACATTTCATTTGATTGTCAAACACCTTTGGTTGTTATCTGTGATACCCTTACAGCACGGCAGAATGTCAATATTATTCTACACCCCGTTGTGTTGCTTTTCCTTTCAAGGACTCCTGAGCTTACATTTCATAGGATAATACCCGCTTGCGCATGGCAAACCTTTTTACTTCATGGCTTCATGCTTCTTGAACACTTTCGTGGCTGGCGCAATCGGCATATCTCTCCTCAGCAGAGTACGTTTGGCTGTGATGAGCAGCCGTCTTTACCGTCATACCTGGATCTTGCAAATCCAGAACTCAGTTCAATAAATACAGCAAGTATTGCATTTCTGTTGTTAATAAATTTTTAATTATTCACCTTCACATTTTGGTAGTAATTTTTGATGCTGCTTTTTTAAATGGATATATTTATTCTGAGAGTTCATAAGTTTATTTATTGTTAATATTTCATAATAATTCCATTGAATATATTTGGTCGTATATTATAATTCTTCAGTATAGTTTATTTTTATGTGGCTGTGTGTTATCTATAGCCTGTCTGTAGACTGTGAATTCATGAAACTGTGATTAAGATGATATGTTAAGAATTGTTTAGACCATTATTTTGCAGCATGGAATAGAACTTTTAATAATTCCTTTGTTATTGCAGATACAGAATAGTAAAGTGAGTATTAAATGATTCATTATGCATGAGGAACTATTAATTAACTTTTATAATTGTTTGTAATATATATTGTATATACTGTATGATACATTGCAAACTAAAGAATTTTTTTTATGAAACATTTGAAATCTTTTCTTTTCAATGGAAAAGCTGCCTTTTTTGTTATAGCACTAAATCTCTAGGGCAGCAGTTCACGGGTTGTTGATTATCTGTAGTTGTTAAATTGTTCATGAATTGCAGTCTTGTTTTTGTATTCTGATGCCATGTACTGTTGTGAATTGATATTAGTTTTATATGTTAGACAAAATATGCTTGAGATATATATTCACTTGAAAGAATATTGAAAGCTAGGTAATGATGTGCTATTCAATCTACTGCATTTAATTAGTTATTTCTTAGCTAGCAACACCAAAATGCATTATTAGATACAAAAATACATAGAAATAATTAAGAATAAATACATAAATGAAAATGATTCCATTATTGACTTTAATTACTTATAGAATTTTTAATTCCATTAAATTTAAATTCCTTCCAGTTTTATTAAACAGAAGCAGGAGTGGCTCTCAAAAGGGCTGTTTTTATAGTGTCATTCAGCACTTTGTCAGTCATTTCCATTATCAATACCGTGCAACATGGTGTAAAATCAGTTATCACTTTTATAAATGGATCTCCACCATTATTCTATGAGATAGCATAGTATAGCATTATTTATGGTGTGATACTCTTCAATGTTGTGTAGAATTTTCAGTTTCAAACCCTTCAGCATGATTTAATTGTTTGAATTATTAGTACCATCTGCAGGTTTAACTCTTGTCAGTGGTACTGCACATGGTACTAAAAAAAAAAAAAAAAAAAAAATGATTAAAACAACAACCAGTTTTAGTGTCACCATCAAAAAATAATTAATTAAGAACAGTAGATTACATACTATGTCATTACTGAAAACGAGGGGTTGACAAAGGGGCACCCCTCGCAGCCCTGTCCTGTTTTTGCAGCCCTGTCCTAATGTGCTCACACTAAATTATTCTGCTTTGTGTTTAATTTTTCAGGTTGTGTTTATATAATACATATTAAAATTATATATTTTTACATCTATCATTCAAAAGCCAATTTATTGCATCGCCACTGCTTGAAACATTTTATTGTCGAGTGAAGCCAATTAAAATCAGACCTTTGACATGTGGCAATGGTCAATGCATTTATCCGTAACTTCTGTGCTGCAATCAACAGTACTTGTAGACAAAAACACTTAGTACACACAAAAACACACAACAATACTTGTAGACAAAACAAGATATTTGTCTACTTTGTCTGTTTGTCACAATTTTGATTAATTTGTAAACATACTCTGAATTTCTGACTTTTACAGTGAAATCAGTAATTACAAATCATATAATGTGTATGTAGTCTATCGTTACTTTCTTGTTAGATTCATTACTAAATACCCAGGATGTTTTCTTACTTTCCTTACAAACTGATGATTGTAACAACCCATGATGGACAAAGCTAAGCAAGTACACATTTATAATTTTAATGAAGAATGGGAGCACCAATTTTACTTTATAAATCATAAAGACAAATACACATGCTTATTATGCAACAAAAGTGTATCAGTTCTAAAGAGAAGTAAACTTGAGAGATATTTTAAAAATGGTCCATCCAAAGCTTGCCTCAGAGTATCGTGAACTTTCTGGAAATAAAATTTTGTTGTTAAAGTCATCGATTTTGAAGTAACAATCTACTTTTACCAAACCATTGGAAACATCAAAGGCAGCAGCAATTACATGGCTTAAAGTTTCACATAGATTTGCTGACAACAACAAAAACATAAAAAAAGGACATATATGGATGGAGCAATAATAAAAGAAGCAAAGTTGGAATCTGTAGACATATATTTTGCAAATTTTAAAAATAAAATAAAAAAAAAAAATCTGTACTTTTACGTTTTGTTGGCACAAGCGATAAAGTCGCTAGTAATGGTACAACCAATGTCAAATGAAATATCCATACTGGTAATCTTTTACATTAACTTTTACATTTCATTTTACCTTTAACTTTTACAAGTCACAGCCATTTCTTATCAGATTGATTGTTTCTTTCAATACTGGCACACAATTACGTAGAATTTTTACCAGATAGTTCAATTTTATGCCCTAAGGCCATTCGCAGGCATTAATTAAGTCAATTATGATGCAACCACACCACTCACCCAATGGCAAAAATATACAAAAGGCAAAATCAAGGGTTAAATTCATCACTTCTAGTGAGAATGCACTAGTGAAGTAAAGCACTGCGGTTTTACGTAATTTCTGAGTAAGCTATTCGTACGAATTGAAATAATTCTTGCATTTAAACTTGTATTCCAAATTAAGATTTAACTTGAAATTAATGTAGAGAATTAAATTTTTGTAGTGTTGTTTCCGTAAGATGAGATCACTTGGGGTCACGTGATGTGAACCGGCGAATCAGGATGTTGTATGATGAAAGCATAGTAAATTCTTTTTACAAATTTATTGTCTTTATTTATTGGCTTTTTTACAAAATTTAAAAAAAAACATTAAAATGTTTATACCTTCAAAATAAAAAATTCTTAGAACTAACATTTGTCAACATTTTTTATGTGTATACCCTGTGTTTTCGTCAATAAAGTCTTCTTGGTGAGGTTTGCCC